CTCACCCACACAAAGGTGAGTCAACAGGTTTACACCAATCAGTAGCCGACCTTCGCATTCTGCAAAGTATATATTAGGTTCACGCCAGTTCGCGTTAATTTCCTTGTTCGTGGGTTATCCCTTGTATCCCGCCCCGCCGTTGCCTCTCTCGTTTAGCGGCGTACTGCCTCATGACTTTTGTTTATCCCTGCGTTGCCTCATCACTCATGTTTAGTTTCGCGCTGCCTCATCACTTCTTTTCAGTTCATTGCTTGATAACTCTCGTTTGGCAGTGCACTACCGCTTTACTCTTCCTTACCAGTGCATTGCCTCATCACTTTCGTTTAGCAGCGGTTTGCCTCTAGGTCACCCATGCGAAAATCCCTCCTTCAGCTCCGAGGGCCAGGAGGCCTCGGCCCGTTAAAGCTTCGCAACTTCTTCCCAGCCAGCTTGTCTTACGAGCAATTTCTCAGAATGAATGGCATCGGGCATCTCTTATAATTTGTGTCAACTCTCCTTGCTTTGCTTCTTATTGCCTCGCATATTCATATTAATAATTGCCTAATCTTTTGGACTTCCGCTTAAGGGTGACTGCGTTCACTCAGAGTCGAAAGCCACACGAAGTTATCCAACTACTTTGACGTTGAGTTAGTGTCTACATTACTTTTGTTTCTACAACAGCAAAATGAGTTTCCTGGGTTGACTTTGAGTCAACTCTGCGTCTCCGAACGGAGCATCTACGTAGAATCTGGCCTTATCGCCTCTTTATTGGGGTCAAACTGCAGCACACCGTCCCGGTTTCCCGGTTCCTCCCATCTTCTGCATGCTCCCTCTAATCTTACGGACATTAGCTGTATATAAGTTTGTGATACATAGCTATGTACCCCTTTAGGATATCAACAGTCTTTACATTGCATTCTTTCGTAGTCTATCTTACCATTTAGTCTCAGGTCTGGCCCTCTTTATCATATGTCTATGGGCCATATCATAACAATTTTATATTTTATTTTTCAGATCGTGGTATTTGCTTGCCTACGGTGGCTTTCTGTTGCCTCACTTTTTACGTAGAGGTGGCCTTTCGCTTGCTAGATCCAAATGCCATCCCAACTAGCATCAACATTTGCAGACCATTCGCCTCCAACTGGTAAATTGTCCTTCAATTCTTAGCTCATGGAAAATATTTTAAAGAAATCTCATTGCTTGAAAAAACTTCGTTTCTGCTTTAAATAGACTATTATATTAAATATATTCAGAATTGGCATTTGCCCATGCTTGGGAGCCAAAATTGATTTTAAAAATTGATGTGTATAACTCCTTTTTTTTGACTTGAATTCCATTTCTTAGGTAAGAACAATGACTATGCACTACTTAAAGCCAAAGATGGCTTCGTTCGGCTTGATTTTCATCTCTGATAGAAATTTTTCCG